CCTATCCCCTGTGTGCCTTGTCTCCTACGACTATATATATATGGAAGTGATGTCATTTCCTATGATACAAGACTCGTCTCTTGAGCACTTACGAAATCGGGATATAAGCACAAGGTCTAAATTATGCTGTTAGATATAATTTGTGCGTTGCACTACCGGTATGTTAGATAAGTAAACTGGGTCAAAGCTATGTGCTACTATGGTAATGCAAATAATATGTTTCATATGTTTTTCCTTATTATTTTGAAATAGTGGAAGAAAATGTTAGTATTTTACATTTAAAAATACTAGTGCATATTTCAAAATAACATAGTGTTTTGTGTGGTTTCCAAAGCTTTTTATTTTGTAGAAAGAGAAAACTATGGGTTTTTAGTTCCCATTGAAAAACAAAGCGTGAATTGAGTGGTATTTAAGTGTATGCATTTCCATGATTTATACTCTTAGAACAAATGAGAGAACAACGGTGCATGTGCGGAGCACATGAAGTGGGGGATACGCACGTATGTGTGCATGGGCGAGGGTATGAGTGTAAAGGCACGCTTGATGGCACACTTTGCACTTAGCGTGAATCTCGAGCTCGAGGCTCGATATCTTTTTGTGAGCATGGCATATGTGGAAATCCAATGGTTCTAGCCGTTGAAGCCTCAAGGCACTTGAAACTGATAGCAACCTCGAGATGCATATAATTGTTTACTTCCAATGGCTAAGAACCATTGATGATAGTTGTTTGAGTTTCAACAGCCACTTTGTGAAGTATAACAACTTGAAGTTGTTCAATTGAATTGTAACTTCGCAGCGACCAAGCACTCTTTCTCTCTCTAAAAACACAAGACTCTAGTGTTCTACAGTGAGTTTCAAGTTCAGATGCATAGAACTTTGAAATATTGAAAAATGGATCCTTATGTTTTCTTATATCCTTAGGACAAATTGCCCTTTTCTTATGTACACATTTCACAGTATTGAATGGGGGAAAATATCACCGTGAGAAAGTGCTATGCGTGCCTCAAGACATCGATGCTTTTTTAACTAACTCACTTTCTTTTTGCCCATTTTCACCCGACTGAATTTCCCATAGCTCTTGGCTTTTCCTGGCTCTTGCTTCTTCTTTTTTCTTGCGAAGTGTTTAAAATTTCGATTAGCTAGGTGAACCAGTTTGACCTCCATAAAAACTAAAAGTAGAAAAGAAAAGGGTAAATAATAAAAAATATCATACAGAAGAACATTAAGCACATCCAGCTTGTCCAAATCATCTAGTCCTTAACAAATTCACATGTTTCTAGCAAATCAGCTGAGTCTACAAGAACCAAATAGATTTTTGTTCTAACAACGAAACGAGTCGGGCCAGATTGGCTACTAGAGCCTATATGAGTATCTTGGTGTGTAAGCTATCTCAAAAGTGACTAATCCATCAAAAACACCCAAGTAGGCCAAGACATGAAATTTTTATAACCTTGGATGTCCCATTTTCATATTTCAAAGGACAAGCTTTGGGGACTAAACTGTACAAAATTTCTTGAGTTCCCCCATATTTGAAGTTCCACTTATTAGTTGGTAGCATGGGCATAAAATTTCTTCATTTTTTCATAAACCCTTATTTTATGCATGACTTTTGGAGCATGTTAGTCCAATTCCCAAGTAAAAACTCCTCTTAAGGAAAGTACATATTGTCTATTAGGTTAATATAAAAGGTATATATTGTAATCATTGTATATGAGAAGGATATGCACAATATCTTGTATTCTATGGTAAGTTTGGGTATGGTATAGTTGTCAGTGATTTATTTTTATTCTTATTATTTGCATTTATCTATAAGACAAGCTTATATATTCATAATAATTAATACACACTGAGTCTTTTCAGATAAACCCATGACTCTTCACATAGTATCAGAGCCAAATTCATCTTCGTCATGTCCATTCCTATACGATCGAGTATGTTGATATGCTATTACTCAATCTTGTCCCACCCCTCTACATGTTTTTGTATTTGGATCTTGATTTTATGGTCCAAATCCATCTAAAATCTGACTAGTTAGTCGGAAAATTCAATTTGACTGAAGGTCTACCGAAAACAAGCACTAGAGATTTGCCGAAAAAACAGTCTTGGCCAAAAAAAAAAAACTGAAACCATCAGATCTGAAGCTCTCTTTGGAGTTCCCTCGATCATTGTTTTCTTCTTCCTCGATGTCCCCTATTTTTCAGCTCCCTCGAATCTGTGCTTTTCTCTCTCTCCTCGTTTTGGTTGGGTCTTTTGTTTTAGCTTTGAGAGAGAGAGAGAGAGATTTCTACTGTTCAAACCCCAACTGCTCTCTCTTATAACATCTTGAGTTTGAGGGAGAGAGTGAAAGAAAAAAATATACTGTCTACTAGATTAATATGGAAAGTGTATATTGTAATCAATCTATATGGAAAAGATAGGTACAATATCTTGTATTTTATGGTAGTCTAGGTATGGTATAGTTGTCAGTGATTTATTTTTATTCTTGTCATATGTATTTGTCTATACAAGATAAGCTTATATATTCATATTAATGAATGAACATTGAGTCTCTTCAAAGAAACATGAGACTCTTCACATTGTGGGGTAATGG